CATTTCTTATATGGGTTATTTGCTTCCTCTCCTGTTTTTCTTTTGTTAGTTTGGCCAATGGTTTATCAATTTTGTTGATCTTTTCAAAGAACCATCTTTTGGTCTTGTTTACTTTCCTTTGTTTTTGTATTCTCTATTTCATTTAATTCTGCTCTAATTCTTTTCATTTCCTTTCTTCTGGCACCCGAGGGCTTCTTTTGCTGATTTCTTTCTTCTTGTTCAAGTTGTAGGCTTAATGTTTTGATTTTGGTCCTTTCTTCTTTTTGGATGTGTGCATTTATTACTATAAACTGACCTCTGAGCACTGCTTTTGCTGTGTCCCAAAGGTTATGGTAGGCTGTGTTTTCATTTTCATTTGATTCTATTAATTTGTTTATTCCATCCTTAATTTCTTCTATAGCCCAGTAGTTTTTGAGCCAGGTGTTGTTCAGTTTCCATGTGTTTGATTTCTTTTCCTTTTTCTGTTATTGATTTCTACTTTTATGGCGTTATGGTCAGAAAAGGTGCTTTGTAATATTTCGATGGTTTGGGTTCTGTTAAGGCTTGCTTTATGGCCTTGTATGTAATCTATTCTGGAGTATGTTCATGTTCGTTTGAGAAGAAAGTATACTTGGCTGCTCTTGGGTGGAGTGTTTGGTATATGTCTGTGAGATCAAGTTGGTTGATTGTGGCATTTAGATCTTCCGTGTCTTTATTGAGCTTCTTTCTGGATGTTGTGTCCTTCAACAAAAGTGGTGTCTTGAAGTCTTCTACTATTATTGTGGAGCTCTCTATCTCTCTTTTCAATGCTGTTAGAGTTTATGTATTTTTGAGTCCTGTCATTGGATGCGTAAATATTTATTATCGTTATGTCCTCATGCTGTATTGACCCTTTAATTATTATATAGTGTTCTTCCTTTTCCATTGTGGTGGATTTTACTTTAAAGTCTATTTTGTCAGAGAGTAATGTTGCCACTCCTGCTCTTTTTTGAGTGTTGTTTGCTTGATATATTTTTTCCATCTTTTGAGTTTTAGTTTGTGTCTTTAAGTCTAAGATGTGTCTCTTGTAAGCAGCATATAGACGGATCGTGTTTTTTAATCCATTCTGCCACTCTCTTTCTCTTTCTTGGTGCACTTAGTCCATTTACATTCAGCATGATTATTGATAGGTATGAGTTTAGTGCTGTCATTTTGATGTCTTTTTTTGGTATGTTGACAGTTTCTTTGTTCCACTTAATTTTCTGTGCTGAGTTGTTTTTCTTTATGTATTTTGTGTTCATCTTTTTCATTGTTGTTGATTTTGTATTTGCTGAGTCTTTATGTTTTTCTTGTTTTTTATTTTGTTGTGTAGGATTGTTAGTTTCCTTTGTGGTTACCTTAATATTTACCCATTTTTCTAAGTTTCAACCAGTCTTTTATTTCTTTATATTGCCTTGACTTCCTCTCAATATGAAGGACTACATTTTTTAGTCCCTCTTTTTTGTTTTAATGTTGTCATCTTTTACATATTGATGTCTCTGTTTCCCTATTTTCAGTATTTTAGCGTTGATTTATTTTTGTGACTTCCCTATCTGGGTTGATATCTGGTTGCTCTGTTTTGTATTTTAGTCTTGCATTGTTTTCTGATGTTATTGATTTTCTAACTGGGGGACTCCCTTTAGTATTTCTTGTAATTTTTTTTTTTTTTTGCAAGTTCCCTAAACTTCTGTTTATCTGGAAATGCCCTCATTTCGCCATCATATTTGAGAGACAGTTTTGCTGGATATATAATTCTTGGCTGGCAGTTTTTTTCTTTCAAGGCTTTATCTATGTCATCCCTTTGCCTTCTTGCCTGCGCAGTTTCTTCTGAATTTTCCGAGCTTAGTCTTATTGACTCTCCATTGTAGATGACTTATCGTTTATCCCTAGCCACTCTTAAAATGCTCTCTTTATCTTTGGTTTTGGCAAGTTTGATTATAATACATCTTGGTGATTTTCTTTTCAGATCTACCTTATGTGGGGTTTGATGAGCATCTTGAACAGATATCTTGTCTTTTTTCATGATATCAGGGAAGTTTTCTGCCAACACATCTTCAACAATTCTCTCTGTATTTTCTGTTATCCCCCTCGCCCCCCGTTCTGGTACTCCAGTCTTTCATAGGTTATTGCTCTTGATAGAGTCCCACATAATTTTTAGAGTTTCTTCATTTTTTTAAATCCTTTTATCCGATTTTTCCTCAAATAAGTTGGTGTCAAGTGCTTTATCTTCAGTCTCACTAATTCTGACTTCCATTGTCTCAATTCTGTTCCTGTGACTTTCTATTGAGTTGTCTAATTCTGAAATTTTATTGTTAATCCTCTGGATTTCTGTTTACTGTCTCTATATCGATTTTTGCAACCTGTTAAATTTGTCATTATGTCCTTCTCTAATTTTCTGAAGTTCCTCTATTGCTTTGTCTGTGTGTTCCTTGTCTTGTTCTGTGTTTTGCCTGGTTTCCTTCCTGATATCTTGAAGAATCCTGTATATTAATCTTTTGTATTCTACCTTGAGTAATTCTAAGAAGTTCTCTTCCTCCTCTGGAAAATTTCTTCATTCTTCATCTGGGGATCTTGCTGAAGCCATCATGGTCCGCTTTTTTATGTGATTTGATATTGACTGTTGTCTCCAAGTCATCAATATATTATTATATTTATTTTATGTTTGCTTGTTGTGTCCTAGCTTCTTGTTTTGTTTTGTTTTGGTATGCCCAAATGGGCTCCTCCTGTGTGCTAGTTTGAGTATTGGCACCTTAGAATCTCTGATGTCCTATTACCAGGTGGTTACATCTGTTACTAGGTCTGTGAGCCCAAGAGCCTATTTACTTTTCTTTGATGGATTCAGCTCAGGTGTCCAGGTAGTCGGTCACCAAGTGTGTGCTGCAGGCTCTCACCTACAGTCCTAGACAGGCAGGGGTGATTGATGTATCTGGCTACAGTACGGGGTCACGCAGTGAGCACGGCAGGGGGTTGATGGCTGCCCCTGAGCATCTGGGAGGAAAGTGTGTCCCTGTTCCCTTGAGTGCGAAGGTGGGTGGGTTTTACAGCTGGACTATGGGCATCCAGTGCTGTTGGCTGTAAGGATTGGGAGGCACCACTTATATTTGGACCCCTGTCATGGGTGGCTAGGTGTCGTGATTGGAGCCACCAGTCCTCAGGCCCCTGATGTGGGTAATTGAAGACTCTGCTTAATTGGCAGAGCAATGTCAAATGTCATGAACCTGCCACTTCACCATATAGCTGATACAGTTGAAGTTAGGCTTCAGGTATATACACTGTAGTACTGTGGTAATGAGGGCCTGTGCTGTTGAAATGGGCCCATGCAGGTCTGTGCAGTTGTGGAAGGCATTCAAAGTCCGTGGACTCCTTATGCCTGTGCCTAGGCAAAGGAGCTGTGCTTATCCTGAGTTCCTGGCTTAGGGGAGCTGGTAGATTATTTTTTCCTGTTTATTAATTTGTTTCCTCTCCAAGGCCGGGAGAATGGCTCAGGGTGCATGAGGGCTCCTACTTCTGGCCCAGGGGACATGGCAGTTGCTGAAGCTGGCCTGGGACATGTGAAGAGTGGGGAGGGGGTAGGTAAATAGGAGAGAGGTTTTTCCCAAAAGGGGTGTTTTTTGATCCGTGTGGTAGGTGAGATGCATGTACTTATCTTTTTCTGTTTGAGTGCCGCTTTTCACTGGTTCTGGAGGTGAGTGGACTCTCTGCCGTTGGGTCTCTCCTGATGTCGAAAACACCTCCCAAGCACCACTGCTTGCCTCACCGCACACACCAACCACACACACCAACCTGTCTGGCCTGAAGGGTGTCGGCTCCTGCTGGGTCAGGTCTGGCAATTCCTTGCTGCTTCTGAACCGTCTCCCTCCCCCTGCCACTCAGTTCGATTCTTCAACTTTGCCTTCGATGTTCAGGGCTCCTAGTGTGTCATATATAATCAATTCACTTGTTTTTTTGGGTCTTTGTTGTAAGAGGGACCACAGGAATCGTCTGACTACTCCGCCATCTTGTCCCCACCTCCTAAAACGTCCTTAAGGAGTATAAAATATGGTCCCACACTAAGATGTGGAGAAGGCAGTGTTCTCCCAATGGCTGTTAAGTTATGTGAAACCAAAAGTGAACCAAACCCACTGCTGTTGAGTCGATTCTGACTCATAGTCACACTGTAGGACATAGTAGAACTGCCACATAGGGTTTCCAAGGCTGTAAATCTTTACGGAAGCTGACTGCCATATCTTTCTTCTGTGGAGTGGCTGGTGGGTTGGAACCACCGACCTTTTGGTTAGCAGCCGAGCACTTTAACCATTGTGCCACCAGGGCTCCTTAAGTTATGTGAAGTGATTTTTTAATAAGTTAGTTTCTCCTGCTGTTATCTCATCTTCTGAATTTTTTTTCCCTACCTGGTATCTGGAACTGAATTACAGTTTCTCCTGATTGAATACATTCATTGAATACTCTGTGTACATGTGTATATATATGTGTGTGTGTGTGTGTGTACACTGCATTCACTTGTCTTTTCTGTAGGACCATTATTATTGCTGTGGCCAAATCCTTATGCCTTTTAAAGAACATTTGGTTTACCAGCTGGCGTCCATATTTATATGACTGTCATGTTCTTGATTGTTTTCAGTGCTTAACTCATGTAATTTTGTCCTCAGTGTCACTCGGCCTAAACTAGGGACTAGGCCATAGTCCCAGTGCCTATAAAGGATGGCAGGCACATAGAGATGGGCTTTTTACATAGAGTATCTCATTTAATTGAAATGATGTCTTGCAGAAGTAGGTATAAGTGTTTCCATTTTACAGAAGAGGTAACTGAAGCTCAGGATGTTTAATTCGCTTGCCACAGGTTAATTATGATAGAACCAAGATTTCAATCCAGATCTGCCTGACTACAGAGTTGATTTTCTTCTAGAGATGCTATTGAGAGACTAGGTTTTCTCAAGGACTTCAAGAGAATTCTGTGATGTTTCTGGTGAATGGTGTTTTAAAGAGTCCCTTTCTGATTGCAGCTGTGCCTTGGACAAGACGCTGCTGAGTCTGTAAGAAATGCCATCACCACTACCACCCCGAAGCTCCAAACCTGAGACTAAGAAATCTAAGTCCAACAAAATTATGACCAGTGATCATGACAAATCTGAAAAGGTTAGAGCAAGCTGTCTCTCTCAACAATGTTTCAGTAGTCTCTTCCTGTGTTGGCTCCAATTTTTGTGGCTACCTAGAGTTCTCAAAGTCACTTCCAAGTCATCTCCTTTCGGTATTATTAAAGTACTAGCAAAAATCTGAATAAAGTTTTAGAAGGCTACTAATTATAGAACCAAGCCAAACCTAATTTTTGGTCCTCAAAAATAATAATAACTAATACCTACTGAGTACTTACCATGTGCTAGACACAATTGTAAGCACTTTTACCTGTATCGGCTCACTCAATCTGCATATAACCCTATGAGGTAGATACTATGATTATCAGCCCCTATCCTAATCCCTGAATCTTTGCAGTGTGTCTGCTTTAATCTGAGAAAGTAGGAAGGGGTAGCAGTCCATGTAATTGGAGAATACCAGCAAATTAGAACTGGAGAAGAAAGTGAGAACTCTTTTTTCCCAGAACTACATGGCTAAAATGAAGATTGCCCTCCACAACCTTTAAAACCAAACAAAACTCAGCCCTCATTAACAATCTCTTCTAGACTCACTTTCTCTGAGAAGCTCAAAGCACCTTGCCAGGACCTGTTTGGTACATTCTGGGATGAGTATAAAAATTAGGCCAACAAATTATATTACCATCCTTTTTGTAGCTATTAAATTAGAAGAATGGGTACATTTTAACTCTGCTGTTTTGACCTGGTGAATAGTTTGACATTGTCATTCTGACCCTGGGATGTTCTGTGCTCATCATCATACATATTTTAATCAGAATTATATTAACACTGATGACTTTTCATTAAGAGAGTATTTCCTGGAATAGCATCATTCAAGAACCAAACCCGTTGCCATCGAGTTGATTCCAACTCATAGCAACCCTATAGAACAGAGTAGAACTGCCCCATAGGGTTTCCAGTGAGCAGCTGGTGGATTCAAACTGCCGACCTTTTGGTTAGCAGCTGCGCTCTTAACCACTGCACCACCAGGGAGGCCTATTTAATTTCCTTGATTGGTTTTCTTTCAACACAGATAAAAATATTCTAATCATTTTCATTTTTGTTTTACTAAAATGGTTTTCATGGAGGGGCCAAATGTTTTTTCCCATGTAAATTTGGCAAGAAAGATTTGATACATTGATCAAGTTTTTGTCCATATAAAATTTTCTGATTAGAGTTCTGTCATTGTAAGTTTTTTTTTTTTTAACAAATTTAATTTTCTTGGGCACATTTTGCAAATCTAAGTTTTATTGAGTGAAGCTTCAACTATTAATTTTATTTTGGCTTATTATTTCTTCCAGTAGTATTAAGTAGGAATTGGATAATGGTCTGGCAGTTTATTTCATAGCTAATATGTGAGAGGAAACCCTGGTGGCATAGTGGTTAAGAGCTCAGGCTGCTAACCAAAAGGTTGGTAGCTTGAATCCACCAGGTGCTCCTTGGAAACTCTATGGGGCAGTTCTACTCTGTCCTGTAGGGTCACTATGAATCAGAATCGATTCGACAGCAATGGGTTTGGTTTTTTGGTTTAATATGTAAGAAGATTATATTTCATTTTTTGTTCATTATTTTCTCCAGGGTTTGTTTATTGTAAACTAGATAAAAACCTAATAGTTTACTTATTGTTTAGCTTCACCCATTAGAAAGCACATGTAATTCCCCTCAACTATTCCAGGATTGCTCTACTGTATTTGATTGATCTGTTGTATTATTAATCCAATTCTCTAAATTTCTGATCACTTTATGTGCCGTGTACTAACTGTTCATGGTGTAGATGGAGAATAGAACACATAGTTTGATCCCAGTGTTCTGCTTTACATTATAACAACTCCCTGATGTAGCTAGGCAGGGTTTGTTCTTATTTCATAAGGGAAATCTGAGACTTACACACACACACACACACACACACACACACACACACAC